ATTTGCATAATTGAATTTGACAAATAAATTATTATTATTAATTATTACAGGTTCAATTTGAATACTATCGATCATATTCTCCAGATCCCACATCTTAGTTTAGATTGTCTCTTGAACGTGACGGGTACAATCTTTTGCCTCCACTCTTTTAAAAGCTTCATAAACAAATTTTCACGTCTGAAAGTTTGAATGTTCTATCTTTGAAGCCACATAGTTTTTTATATTTGCCTAAATCATTTCAATCGCATTTACTTTCGCAGTGTTAGGGAGGTAGGTAACCTTAAAACAGTCTTATTTTTGTTTTTAGCCATTTCGTCAATAACATTAAGATTATATTTATATTTGTGCTACCTGACTAGATGATAAATTCTGCTTTGACCATACTTTCATTGAAACTAATGACTTTTGATAGAATAGAATAGAAATGTATTGGTTCCTCAGTTATAAACGAAAAACAAAGAAATTTATAACAGAGATAACACGTCATTGTGATGCAGTGTAAATAACTCACAATTTTTCTAAAGTACATACAAAACAAACAATCATAGACAACATACAACAACAGCGATATTAATTCTTACGGTTTCACTAGAGCACAGAACTCTTCAATACTATATGGTTCCATATCGCATATATATTTATGAATGCTTTTTTGAATATAGTGAATGCTGAAATCGATTGAAGATGTCGAGGTAAAGCATTGTAAAGTTTCAGTGCAGAGTAATGTGGACATGTTTCGGTAGAATTCAGCTTATGTGATGGGTAGAAGTATTTCTGACTTTTGCGAGTATTGTAACTATGGTTGAAGACGTTTTTTCCAAACTTTTCTTTATGGCTAAAGATAAATAGTAGAGTGTTATAGATATAAATTCCCGGTAATGTTAATAAGCGGTTGACTTTAAATATACTTCTACATGACTCTCTAGGTTTCATTTTGAACATTGCTCTTATTATCCTCTTTTGTATGATAATAATTCTATTGGCTGCGGGACTATTACCCCTAATTGTTATTTGATAAGACATAATAGAATACGCAAGCCCATAGTAAGCAGCCTGCACAGCTTGCAAGGGCAGGTGACAAGTGATTACTCGTAGTGTATAGCATGCTTGATTGAGTTTTGAAGCCATACTCTCAATGCGCTTATCAAACTTAAGACAGCTATCGTAGGTGACACCTAGGAGGTTTGTATCGCTTTTGATACATAGAGGTTCATTAATTAAGGGTAGTTCTTTTGTGGCATGGCTTGACTGAAATAGGACACAACACGTTTTTTGTATGTTGAATGCAGCCAGTTTTGAATGTGGTTTATTTGTGTCTCTATCAAGATTCGGATATCAGACGTTCCTTTATATGGTATCAGAATAGTTATATTATCTGCATAGATGAAACTTAGATTTTGCGTGTTTTTCGTGGTGGTGAATATATCATTAATATAAATAATAAACAATGTTGGGCCCAGTGTACTGCCTTGAGGAACACCAGTACTATATGTCCGAGGACTAGATGTTATTCGTTTCCCGGTTTTGTTGTCTTCTATTACAGAGATACGATTTAAGCCAGTAGTACGCATTCCCGCGTATACCATATTTATATAATTTGTTTAGCAATATTTCGTGGTCAATGCAAGCAAATGCTTTTGACAGGTCCACAAATAAACCACATGCTGCTCCTTGATTCTCTCGATATTCATGGTTTGCTGTGGTGAAATCGAACAGTGCCGTGTTCACACCTCTACCTTTCATGAATCCATGTTGGTTATTGGTGAAGTATTTATTTGAGTGGAAAAAATTAATAAGACGGTTGTTATAAGCAATTTCAAAGATTTTTGAAAAATTTATCAGTAAGCTAATAGCACGGTGGTCGTCCATATCATCAGGATCGCCTTTTTTATAGGTTGGTAATACGAGTGCAATTTTAATGCTTCTGGGAATTCTCGGTCACTAAGAGATGTATTTAGGATACTAAGAAGAGGGTCAAATATTATGGTTATCACTTTTTAATGATGAAAATTGGGACGTTGTCATCACCACAACTTTTTATGTCTTTTAGGTTGAATACAATTCTGAGCAATACGTCATGATTTGAGTTGAAAATATTGTTTTATTTTTTAGTTCGAGGTTGCAGTCATAATTCAAATTTGGTAGTTTTGAGAGGAGTTTTGGAGCAGCTTCGACAAAGCTTTTATTGAAATGGTTTGCTAAAGCATTTACATCATTATGTACCGGTAAAACAAACTGATCTGACGACGCGTTGGGTGTGGTAGTTAGTTCTCGTACTGTATTTCAAATAATTCTATTGCCATGATTATTTACTTTGTTTAAATAGTATTGCGATTTTGAATCCTTGAAGAGTTTCTCATATGTCTGATTATAACTTTTAAAAACATCTTTATATGAGCCATTGTTGAATTTCTGCTTTTCTTGTGGACACTATGGATTTTTTTCTGGTGTGGTATGCAGCATTATCAAGGAAAACGACGGCATTGTCGCCAAGCTTTGGGAGCGTTTCTTCAAATCATCGTCCAAATGAACTCCCGTCCATTTCTTCATGGTAGTTGGTCGTTTTCGTTGACTCAAATGCCCATAGGGCAGTGGGCACAAAGCCATCTTCACTGCCAATGTGACAGATAACACATCGTTTCCCTTTTCCTGGGAATAATTATTCCATATACTACTCAAGAAAACTAATAATATACTAAGTGACATATAAATCCGAACACCCAGTTTAAGTGGTTTTATTTTAATAAAATTTTGTATAAGTACTTATTGAAGCATAATGAGTAAATGATAAAAATTTCAAAATGATTACACTGCTTTAAAGCCCTTTGACCTTTAATAATGTGTGGATGCACCCTGATGTGCTACGCATTCTCCAACGCGCCTAGGCATGCTTCTGATCAGGTGGTCAATGTCCTCCTGTGGTATCTCATTCCAGGCAACCACCAACTCCTCTCGAAGTGCTTCTAGAGTCTGAGGAGGACGTTGCAAATTGAGCAATCTCCTACCCATCATATCCCACACGTGCTCAATTGGGGATAAGTCGGGAGATCTTGGTGGCCATGGTAACAATGTGACATCATTATGTTGAAAGAAGTCTATTGTGACTCTTGCAACATGTGGTCGGGCATTATCTTGTTGGAAAGTTGGATCTGCCAGGGTGTCAAAATAGGGTAAAAGATGGGGTTCTAGAACTTCGTGGATATAACGCTACGCGTTCATGTTACCTCTGATGAAGATTAAAGGTGACCTGGAACCATAAGCTATAGCATCCCAAGCCATAACTCCAACAGTGTGATGAACATGTCTTTCAACAAAAAACTGTGGATTCCTCCTTTCACCACGTCGCCTTCTAACCCTGGCACGACCATCGTGCACGCTTAAGCAAAATCGAGACTCGTCACTAAAGACAATACTGTTCCATTCCTGATCCCAGAGTGACCGTTGTCTGCACCACTCAAGGCGATTACGTCGGTGTTCTCGAGTTAAAGGGAGGACCCAGTGTGGCCGGTATGAAAACAAGCCAAAACTTCTCATTCGTCGGTAAACACTTCGCATGCCAATAGGTCTTCCATGTTCTGCAAACCATTCATTTGCAATGGACCTGGTAGTGGAGAAACGGTCCCTTAAGGCCAATAATTTTAGGCGGCGATCTTCACGGTCTGTTGTTCTACGGCGGCGTCCAGTGCCCCTTGCTCTTTGCGTACGGCCTTCTCGAAGCCATGCCTGACAACACCTAACCACAGTGTCTACACTTCTTTGCACTCTAACTGCAATTGTCCGAAAAGAAAGTCCAGCTTCCCGAAGTCCCACTATACGGCCCCTATCACACTCACTAAGTTGACTAAATCGTACAGGTCTCCGTACTCTAGGCATCGTAACCGATCGTAAAGGATGTCAAGAACCAAAATCCGCCAACGTTGATTCTTTACTGCGGCTGAAATATTCATTTTTAGAGCGTTAGTGAATTAAAAAAAACAGTATGAAAACCGGAATGTCCAACTGATAAGGCTGAAAATTTTTCACTTGTTATTTACAGTAAGATAAATACATTCACCAACTTTTATTAAAATAAAACCATTTAAACTGAGTGTTCGGATTTATATGTCACTTAGTATAATACAGAGTATCTAACAGGTGTTTACAACACAAATGACGAATATGGTTAGATACACGTACTGACGGATTATTTAGGCCAGTGGTTAGTCTATCTAACAAAGCTTGTCTTCATGTTTTAATTGTAGAGTCAGTGCATGTGTACTGCATTTATCCAGGTTTCATCCAGGTAATAAATCTTCCTGCCCTGGTCGCGGTATTTCTTTATCGATTTTAAATAATTAGTTCTCCATGAAATAATCTCTTGGCTGTCCATCAAAATATTATTTCTACCCCGTTTTCTATTCTCAAAGTGAAGTGAGTAAATTATAGAATGTGGTCTTTTTCAGCGCCGCTAAGTCTTCATCACCATTAACCTCCTGTACTACTCGCTGGTGGGAAGTTCCTGCCTTTCAATATGGTGACGGATTCAATACCATGAATTTTCATTTCAGAATGCTCTAAAATTTCGCTCTTATAAACGTTTAGGACAATTTCTTTTGCCTGAATATTCTTGTCACGCGTTCGGGGAGTAGACATCATTGAAGAGGAAGCACGGCTGGAGGAAGCATTGGGAGAAATATTCTCAGTTTCATCTGCTGTAACCGTAGACGACATGCTAACACATGCTGTGTATGCACCGAATATGAACAGCAGCTGCCGGCGTCGGCATGCCGGCGATACCCCGAGCCTGATTTCAACCCTGTCGAATCCTGCACTTGTTCGTTCTTTTATCGCCGAATGACCAATAGCTATTGCAACGCTTAGGCGGCTGCCGCTTTGCCGCGCTGCATCTTTGTTGAGCCGGGGCGTAAACGGACTACGAATAGGGTATAGTCTCTGGACTAACGCGTCAATGCTTATAAAGTCAAAACAAAATAGTGACTATAAGCAAAATATATACTCACCAGAACCAAATGAAGATGTAAGTCTTCTCGTTTACAATATTGAGCGGTAGCACGCACAAACTGTCGTGTTTCTGTATACTTCCGGAAGCACCATACTTGTGGAAGATGCACTTCGTGACTCTAGGGAAGACGTAAACCATTGGGTCGACTCTGTCCTCTTGCGCTTGCTCGGAGAAGTTCATCACCCTCCAACCGTAAGAGATGAATTCTCCGTCGAAGAACCTGTTCATGACGTAGAGCTGCGTCAGGATGTTGATCAGGCACAGGCACTCGCAGGCCCAGTATCTGATGGCGTACAGGTTGTGTTGCTGTGGAGGAAAGAAATTATCTAAGTTTAAGATTATGTAGGTTAGACGCTATTTCAGAAACATCATAAAATAGTTGAAGCTGTAACGGTAAAAAGAAAAATTATGAAGTTGAGTAACATATACATGGTGATGCAAACCTTAAAGTCAATACTCAAGAAATCAGAAATAATATACTAAGTGACATATAAATCCGAACACCCAGTTTAAATGTTTTTTTTTTAATAAAGTTTTGTATAAGTACTTAATGAAGCATAATAAGTAAATGATAAAAATTTCAAAATGATTGCACTGCTTGAAAGCCACTTGACCTTTAATAATGTGTGGATGCACCCTGATGTGCTACGCATTCTCCAACGCGCCTAGGCATGCTTCTGATCAGGTGGTCAATGTCCTCCTGTGGTATCTCATTCCAGGCAACCACCAACTCCTCTCGAAGTGCTTCTAGAGTCTGAGGAGGACGTTGCAAATTGAGCAATCTCCTACCCATCATATCCCACACGTGCTCAATTGGGGATAAGTCGGGAGATCTTGGTGGCCATCGTAACAATGTGACATCATTATGTTGAACGAAGTCTATTGTCACTCTTGCAACATGTGGTCGGGCATTATCTTGTTGGAAAGTTCGACCTGCCAGGGTGTCAAGATAGGGTAAAAGATGGGGTTCTAGAACTTCGTGGATATAACGCTGCGCGTTCATGTTACCTCTGGTGAAGATTAAAGGTGACCTAGAACCATAAGCTATAGCACCCCAAACCATAACTCCAACAGTGTGATGAACATGTCTTTCAACAAAAAACTGTGGATTCCTCCTTTCACCACGTCGCCTTCTAACCCTGGCACGACCATCGTGCATGCCTAAACAAAATCGAGACTCGTCACTAAAAACAATACTGTTCCATTCCTGATCCCAGAGTGACTGTTGTCTGCACCACTCAAGGCGATTACGTCGGTGTTCTCGAGTTAAAGGGAGGACCCAGTGTAGCCGGTATGAAAACAAGCCAAAACTTCTCATTCGTCGGTAAACACTTCGCATGCCAATAGGTCTTCCGTGTTCTGCAAACCATTCATTTGCAACGGACCTGGTAGTGGAGAAACGGTCCCTTAAGGCCAATAATCTTAGGCGGCGATCTTCACGGTCTGTTGTTCTACGGCGGCGTCCAGTGCCCCTTGCTCTTTGCGTACGGCCTTCTCGAAGCCATGCCTGACAACACCTAACCACAGTGTCTACACTTCTTTGCACTCTAACTGCAATTGCCCGAAAAGAAAGTCCAGCTTCCCGAAGTCCCACTATACGGCCCCTATCAAACTCACTAAGTTGACAAAATCGTACAGGTCTCCGTACTCTAGGCATCGTAACCGATCGTAAAGGATGTCAAGAACCAAAATCTGCCAACGTTGATTCTTTACTGCGGCTGAAATATTCATTTTTAGAGCGTTAGTGAATTAAAAAAAAGCAGTATAAAAACCGGAATGTCCAACTGATAAGGCTGAAAATTTTTTCACTTGTTATTTACAGTAAGATAAATACATTCACCAACTTTTATTAAAATAAAACCATTTAAACTGGGTGTTCGGATTTATATGTCACTTAGTATATCACAGTTTGGCGAACCAAGGAAACTTACTTAGATAGTAACATTGTATTTACTGAACAAGGTCCCCGTTTGATACATCTTCTGAAAGGTACAAAAGGTACTATAGAAGTTTCACAATACGGCTGTATTCATTGACTTCGTAGTCGTAGTTCCCACCTTAATTGAATACAGTTCTCCATCCGCCAAAACCACTCCTTAAATCAGCTCTTCCAAGCTGCACCCTTGAGTGCGGCACACTCGTTAACCCAAGCCCTCAGGAGGTCCTCATCGCTAGGAAACCGCTTTCCTTTTAGCTTCATTTTCACACGCGGAAACAGTGCAAAAATGCAGGGACAAGATCTGGACTGTAAGAAGGATGCTCAATAAGTTTCAGTCCAGTAGTTGTCAAATACTCGCCGCAGGCTTTCTTGACTTTGGCCGGCTTTTTCATAGACTCTACGACTTTAGGCAGGCACTGTTCCGTGTATCACTTCGCTGTGACTGTCTTCTGTGTGTCCAAAATGACACGCTCCACAGTCGCGCTCGATTTGAAAAGTACAGCTATCATTTTTCTCGTTAATAGGTCGGGATTTTCTGACAAATACAGATCTGTCCTCATCAACAAATACTCAAACTTTGTTTTGACTCTTGATCGGCACATCGTAATAATAGAGCCAAGTCTCGTCACCTGCCACGATGCTGTTCACATACCGAGATTGTCCCTTATCAAACATTTCCAGCATCTTGTAGTGGTTTAGTGATGTGTGCGATGATAAGGTGAACACTTGGCAACTATGGGCGGATTTGGGCGGCAGTCGAACCTGGACACGCGTCGGGGCAGGGTCGCGACTCATGTATTCCTTTTAAGTTTCACTTAGAATTGCTGTTTTTTGTGAGATTTCAATAAATCGTCTACTCTCACGTTATCTACTCATCGAGAACCCACCCTCTGTAGATTGGTATAATCGCCAGCCCATTGCAATCTTTCGGCACTAATTCCTACGACGAGTCTTATGCTCGTCCGTCAAACTATGCGGTACCCAGAGAGAACAAAGTTTCCTTACGTGTAAACGGTCATGCAGAATTGAATTAATTGCTGGTGGATGAAGATGTAAGGTCTCCCCTATCTGTTGGTATGTTACTCTCCGGTCTTCGTCAAGCATTTTCCATACAGTAGTAATGTTTTCCTCTGTTACTGACGTTCGCGGACTTCCTTCCCTTTCAGCGTCCTCTAGAGTGAAATTGTCGCTTTGGAATTCTCTGTACCACCTCAACATAGTCGTACGATGAGGACAATCATTCTTTAATGCAAGCGTCATTTCTTCTAATCACTGGTCTGTGCTTAACCACGCGTAAAGTTACACCGTAAAACTGCCCTTATCTCACTACGTGACCACGATGCCATATCAGCACTTTACACTGTCAATACGAATGAACAACTAAATCAATAGACGTGTTGCTGGCAGCTACTATGCAGTCATGCAGTAACATGCAGCATCCTGCATCCGTTTGTTGAGTCATATTTTAAAACTTTTATAGTACCCTTTGTACTCGTATATGCCTATGCTTTAAGGTGAAGATTTTAGTTAACAGAATTCTTAATCCATTTTGGTTTTGCGATTGAAGTTTTCAAAATCTATTGTGCGCGCGTTAGGTTTTAGCTTACCCTCGCAAAATCTGACTACATATCTAGCATGAATTATCTTGTTGAGTAAGACTAAAAGTGGGCATTAATGGTGCATCTAGGATTACAGGAGAATGAGGATGAGTACGGGATTTAGATGAGGTCAAAATTTCAGATCCGTTTTCATGTCTGTGTTTTGTTTTTTAGCGAGCTCATCGCTTGCTATTATAAATGAATATGAGTCAAGTCGACTTGAGCAAATTTCAAGTTTACTGGGAAGGTGCCGGAGTCGTAAGATATCTTGAAGAGACGCAAAAGAACTGGAGCAAGCTCCGATGCACACCTCTTCAGTACAATGGAATGAATCCAGACCAGAAGCTTTGTTGATGTCTAGGATCTTATGCCTGAGTGTTACTTCCCGCAGAGTGTAGGGAAGGAACACTTTGAATCGACGGTACTCGGGCATTGGGGGATGTCGATGGTGGAGTTGACAGCAGAGATATTGGCAAGCACATCTGCCTTAGTAGTGGGAGTCTTCTGCGTGAGAAGTTCTTTTCAATCTGCTTGGCCAGCGTCCAGAAAGACCGACTGCCATTGCGCTGCGACATTACCCTTTGCCTAATATTTATATAATAATAATATTTATTACCCTCATCAAACAGTATATACAAAGTTTACAAACAAAAAAAAGCCTTAAGAGTATAAAGGGCTACATCAGCTTGCAGCTTAAAGAAGCAGCTGCTAGAGCCAAAAAAAAAAAAACAAATTTAAACAGTTCTATAGTAAGACAAATGGCTATTAAGACATTGATAATTAATAATGTTTTAAACTTAAGAAATATAAAGAAGTATGGTAAGTAGATAAATGGAAATTTAGAGTGAGAAGAGAAAGTAAGGGGAAAGGGGAGAAGAGAAAAGGGGGAGCAGGAGATGTGTTTTATATGATATCTGAGACATTAAATCACTTTTAAGGTTCCTCTTAAATGAAAAGAAAAATCTTTAATTTTGAATTTATTTACCAAAAAGGCAATTTGATATGAGAATGATTTCTTAAATGATTCTTTATTGTGTGATGGTATTGTAATCAAATTCAATCTTCTAATGCTTAGATTATGTACATCAGTCCGGTAACTAATGTTTAAGTGAAGATAAGGAGGGCTTTTATATTTTATAATCTTGTAAAAAAAGGAAGTAGAGTGCAAGGTACGCCTCTGAGCCCTATTCAACCATCCCAGTTCAGATAGTTTGTGGGATACTCTTTGTCTACCCCTTATGCCAAATATCAGCCTCAGGCAAGAATTCTGAGCGTTTTGAACCCGTTTTAGTTCCACACTATCAAGAAATGGGCCATATACCATATCAGCAAAGTTGAAGTGGGACAACACTAAAGTTTCGCAGAGCGTGGCTTCAGTATTTTGTGATAGGTAATGTCTATGGGGGTAAATTATTTTTAACATTGAATATGCTTTTCTTAGGCACAGAGTAATGTGCTCTCTAAACTTAAGTTTAGAGTCAACCACTAAGCCCAAATCCTTCACGGAATCCCTAAATGATATTATATTATCCCCTAGTTTGAGCTTAATATTATTTTCTAATACGTTTCTGCAGGAATCACTACAAAACAATCTAGCCGTCGATTTACTAGGGTTTATCTTTAACAAGTGATCTTCAGAGGTTTTGAGAAGGCTATTCAAGTCGGTATTCAGTCGGTTTGTTATAAGTTCTGATAGATCGGGTTTAAAAGAGGCATAAATTTGAATGTCGTCACCATAAAGATCATATTGACAATAACTCAGCGAGTTC